AACATTTGCTAATGCATCTCCATTTTTCATTTTGTGGGATCCATAAAATGAAAGGTGTAGATGCATTAACAAATCTTAGGAGTCGTAATTGATGATTAGAGGATCCCAATCCAGTTATTTCTCAAAGCCACACAAATAACAAAATTAACTAACATGTACATTATCAATTTACTACATTTAAAAACCTATATCTGGAAAATATTGAGCTTAGTACGTGTATATATGTTGAAGAAGTCTGAATTGCAAAACATGAAATTAATCATCCTAGGGAAAAAAGAAGAATAAGAAGAAAGATCTTGTTACTCACTTACAGTCGCAGAAGTCATTGTCTTCTAGCCATCGCTGACGTTCCTGTTTCCTTTTATTATCGTGACGCTGCTTTCTTCCCCATACAATGTTATATTTGTTTTGTAGTTTGGAAACTCGATGTACTCATCATATATACCTTCTCTTATTTGGATGATCCTTCGACCATCGCTGTTGTTTAAGGTGAAGGCTATTGCATCCCCTACCCCAATGAAAGTGCAGCTCCCATCTGGAGCAACGGCCAAAGTCTGCAACAATTATATACAACATACTGAATCACACGCACACACTTTTTTCACTTTTTAAGTTTTTCAATAATACACAAGCATGTTAGCTAGTATGTATGTTCATATTATATGTATATACTAACCAGTGTCGATTGATCATCGTGCACCCCTCAATCTGCCAATTGCACTATCACGGTTGTCGAGGTGGCAATGCCGATGAAGATCAAAGTCATGACCAATTTGAAACCTTGAACTGAGCTCATCATCACCATGTATGGTCTTTTCATTCTTTCTTTCTTTCTTTATTCTCATTCCTATTTTATTTTATTTTATTTTATTTTTTTGCGCGGGTGGTAGGGAGTGTGTTGTATGGTGTTTTATATATTGTGTTTTGTTATTGCACTGTGGAGTGTGGACTTGTAGGGAAACTACATGTGCCTAACCATTTAAGTAAAACAATCTCCATATATAGAATGCAAAGATAATTTTGAGTGCAACATTTTATTGGTCGAAATTGAATAAGAAACCCATGTGTATATTTAGACGTAGAGATTAGTTGGGCAGTTGGTTTACAAAGTTTTTTTTGAGGTAAAAAACAGAGCGAGTAGTCATGTTCATGTATATATTAACCGTAAGCCGGTTTACAAAGTTTTAGAGACAATAATATAGGATTGAGTTTATAAGAACTTAACAAAATTGAACCGAGAAGTTGATAGCAGCTGTCAATAATACAAGGCAGTGGAATCCCGACCAATTTATCCTTGTTGTTGTGTCCCATTTCCCGACCCATAATTTGCGTACTCGGCATAATGCACCTTGTACAATGTCGGACTGTCTCTATTTGACCACTTCCTCCATCCGCTTGGATCGACGATCCTGTTCATATACGACCTAATGTACACCGTGGTTGAGTAATTGCTCCACGATCGACCCAAGTACGTCTTGACTGACCCGTTGCTGGCAGCAAGGACGTGCCACTGCAGGATGGAACAGTTTTGCATCGAAAAGCATGTAGCCTCGCTTTCACTTTCACGGACTTGGGCTGTGATGGCATTGTCTTGCCCTTGCATTGGCAATTTGGCATAGATCATGCAGTTTTGGAAGACGGCGGAGGCATCACCGAAGATAAAGTCTACGGTGCATAAGATGTTGCACTCTCGATAGGACTGCTGACCACGACGTGCATACAAAGTGTATTGATATTCGTCAATGGCACAACGGTAGAATGCGACGAAACCGACGTCGACGCGCAGCGCTACCGCCTGGCCCTTGGATGCACCTGCTGTGTTCTTGAAACATATGTCTTGGGCTATAAAGCCTTGGCCCGAGATGGCTGAAATTAATGGAAGCATGGTTAGATACCTAAATGACCTAATCATGAAAAACTGAGTACACCATTACTGCTAATATATCATAAAACATCTTTCAGTGTAGAGAGATGCATGGCTCTTTTTTTTAATTCTAATTTCCGTTGACGTAGTCCTATTGTCAGATTATGAGCTCTTGGAAGTAACATAAATTGTATAAAATCACAAAGTATTAGACGTGATTGAGGCTGGCAAAAGAAAGAACATGGAGATGGAAATCAGAGATAAAAAGTAGACGGATAATTCTAACTGAAATACAAAATGTCACGAGATTGAGAAATATCAATCCTTCCTCAATTTTGATGTCAAATTTAAACAATTGTACATCTAATTTTTGGCGATTTTCAACAAAACTCAGAAAACTCCTTGGGGTTTTCTACAATTCCAAAAAGCTCATGGGATTTGGTGTGATTTTCAAAGTTCATGAGTGTTTATTACAAAACACTGCAATTTCATCGGGGTTTAGTGCAATTTATAATTCCATAAAGTTCGTGGTCATTCTTTTCAAACCATAACCAAACGTGTACTTGTACAAAGTTATGTATCACTACAGATGCACTTACAGATATGTCATATCATAATGTTCTACTAAATATACTAAAGGATAAACAATCATGCATGACAAATGAAGTTTCATTATCTAACAATGTAAGGTAATAGGGATACAAGTAGATTTCTTCTACTCACATTTCATCACTACAAATTATTCAGATCCTGCCAATTGTATGTGTTATGCACACAATTACATAATAATGGAAATGAGGGAGGCAAACCAGTCGATCAGACCCATCTAATAATCGCGTAGACTTGTTTATTAAACGGATAAGTGATACGAGGCCCAAGTCACCTAATTATTGGTTTTATAATCAAGCAACTTATCACTTAAAATCCATAGTCAAAATTTTCATGGTACTATTTATTATTTCAAAGATTCTGTGTTGTTTAGAAGTTCAGATTATTTTAGGGTGTTTTTTGTAAACATTTAAATTTTGAGGGTGTTTTTTATAAAAATTTAAAAGGTTCAGTGTATTTTTTGAAAATATAATCTTTTTAGGTGATTTTTTTTAAAATTTGTATACTTTTTACTCTTTGTAAGTTTTGATTTTATAGGTTTTTTAATTTTGTATACTTTTTACTCTTTGTAAGTTTTGATTTTATAGGTTTTTTAATTTTTGAATTTTAGGGTATTTTCTACGTTGTTGTTCATAAGTTATAGAATTTTTATAGGTTTTTTAATTTTTGAATTTTAGGGTATTTTCTACGTTGTTGTTCATAAGTTATAGAATTTCCAGTATTTTAAAGTTTTGATATTCCTGGGGTGTATTTTTGTAAATTTGATTCGACGGTGTCTTTACAATTTTTAATGTATTACATTAATTACATTAAATTTTAAAATTTTAAATATAAAAAATTTACTACAACTTAAGCTCTATTCTTTTAAACATATAAAATCTTGCAACTATTTTAATAAAATAAAAGGAAAAATATTCTTCTCTCTTTACCAAAATAAACCACATGCAAGTACTTTAAGCAATGCTCATAGTTATTTCGGATTGAGATCCTCTACTCATCAATAGTGGCTCCAAATATTTACTAATGCATCTCCACCTTTCATTTTGTGGGATCCACAAAATGAAAGGTGGAGATGCATTAACAAATGTTAGGAGCCGTTATTGATGAGTAGAGGATCTCAATCTAGTTATTTCCCAAAGCCACACAAATAACAAAAATAACTAACATGTACATTATCAATTTACTACATTTAAAAACCTATATCTGGAAAATATTAAGCTTAGTACGTGTATATATGATGAAGAAGTCTGAATTGCAAAACATGAAATTAATCATCCTAGGGAAAAAAGAAGAATAAGAAGAAAGATCATGTTACTCACTTACAGTCGCAGAAGTCAATGTCTTCTAGCCATCGCTGACGTTCCTGTTTCCTCTTATTATCGTGACGCTGCTTTCTTCCCCATACAATGTTATATTTGTTTTGTAGTTTGGAACCTCGATGTATTCATCATATATACCTGCTCTTATTTGGATGATAGTTCGACCATCGCTGTTGTTTAGCGCGAAGGCTATTGCATCCCCTACCCCAATGAAAGTGAAGCTTCCATCTGGAGCAACGGCCAAAGTCTGCAACAATTATATACAACATACTAAATCACACGCACACACTTTTTTCACTTTTTAAGTTTTTCAATAATACACAAGCATGTTAGCTAGTATGTATGTTTATATTATATGTATATACTAACCAGTGTCGATTGATCATCGTGCACCCCTCCATCTACCAATTGCACTATCACGGTTGTCGAGGTGGCAATGCCGATGAAGATCAAAGTCATGACCAATATGAAACCTTGAACTGAGCTCATCATCACCATGTATGGTCTTTTCATTCTTTCTTTCTTTCTTTCTTCTCATTCATATTTTATTTTATTTTATTTTATTTTATTTTTTGGCGTGGGTGGTAGGGAGTGTGTTGTATGGTGTTTTATATATTGTGTTTTGTTATTGCACTGTGGAGTGTGGACTTGTTGGGAACCAACATGTGCCTAACCATTTAAGTAAAACAATCTCCATATATGGAATGCAAAGATAATTTTGAGTGCGACATTTTATTGGTCGAAATTGAATAAGAAACTCATGTGTATATTTAGACGTAGAGATTAGTTGGACAGTTGGTTTACAAAGTTTTTTTTTTAGGTAAAAACAGAGCGAGTAGCCATGTTCATGTATATATTAACCGAAAGCAGGTTTATAAAGTTTTAGAGACTAGAATATAGGTTTGAGTTTATAAGAACTTAACAAAATTGAACCGAGAAGTTGATAGCAGATGTCAATAATACAAGGCAGTGGAATCCCGACCAATTTATCCTTGTTGTTGTGTCCCATTTCCCGGCCCATAATTTGCGTACTCAGCATAGTGCACCTTGTACAGTGCTGGACTGTCGCGATTTGACCACTTCCTCCATCCGCTTGGACCGACGATCCTGTTCATATACGACCTAATGTACACCGTGGTTGAGTAATTGCTCCACGGTCGACCCAAGTACGTCTTGATTAACCCGTTGCTGGTAGCAAGGACGTGCCACTACAGGATGGAACAGTTTTGCATCGAAAAGCATGTAGCCTCGCTTTCACTTTCACGGCCTTGGGCTGTGATGGCATTGTCTTGCCCTTGCATTGGCAATTTGGCACAGATCATGCAGTTTTGGAAGAAGGCGTAGGCATCACCGAAGATAAAGTCTACGGTGCATAAGATGTTGCACTCTCGATAGGACTGTTGACCACGACGTGCAAACAAAGTGTATTGATATTCATCAATGGCACAACGGTAGAATGCGACGAAACCGACATCGACGCGCAGCGCTACCGCCTGGCCCTTGGATGCACCTGATGTGTTCTTGAAACAGATGTCTTGGGCTATAAAGCCTTGGCCCGAGATGGCTGAAATTAATGGAAGCATGGTTAGACAACTAAATGACCTAATCAGGAAAAACTAAGTACACCACTACAGCTAATATATCATAAAACATCTTTCAGTGTAGAGAGATGCATGGCTCTTTTTTTTAATTCTAATTTCCGTTGACGTAGTCCTGTTGTCAGATTATGAGCTCTTGGAAGTAACATAAACTATACAAAATCACAAAGTATTACACGTGATTGAGGCTGGCAAAAGAAAGAACATGGCGGTGGAAATCAGAGATAAAAAGTAGACGGATAATTCTAACTAAAATACAAAATGTCACGAGATTGAGAAATTTCAATCCTTCCTCAATTTGGATGTCAAATTTAAACAATTGTACCTCTAATATTTGGCGATTTCCAACAAAACTCAGAAAACTCATTGGGGTTTTCTACAATTCCAAAAAGCTCATGGGATTTGGTGTGATTTTCGAAGTTCATGAGTGTTTATTACAAAACACTGCAATTTCATCGGGGTTTAGTGCAATTTATAATTCTATAAAGTTCGTGGTCATTCTTTTCAAACCATAACCAAACGTGTACTTGTACAAAGTTATGTATCACTACAGATGCACTTACAGATATGTCATATCATAATGTTCTACTAAATATACTAAAGGATAAACAATCATGCATGACAAATGAAGTTTCATTATCTAACAATGTAAGGTAATAGGGATACAAGTAGATTTCTTCTACTCACATTTCATCACTACAAATTATTCAGATCCTGCCAATTGTATGTGTTATGCACACAATTACATAATAATGGAAATGAGGGCGGCAAACCAGTCGATCTGACCCATCTAATAATCGCGTAGACTTGTTTATTAAACGGATAAGTGATACCAGGCCCAAGTCACCTAATTATTGGTTTTATAATCAAGCAACTTATCACTTAAAATCCATCGTCAAAATTTTCATGGTCCTATTTATTATTTCAAAGATTCTGTGTTGTTTAGAAGTTTAGATTATTTTAGGGTGTTTTTTGTAAACATTTCAATTTTGAGGGTGTTTTTTATAAAATTTAAAAGTTTCAGTGTATTTTTTGAAAATATAATCTTTTCAGGTGATTTTTTTAAAAATTTGTATACTTTTTACTCTTTGTAAGTTTTCATTTTATAGGTTTTTTAATTTTTGAATTTTAGGGTATTTTCTACGTTGTTGTTCATAAGTTATAGAATTTCCGGTATTTTAAAGTTTTGATATTCCTGGGGTGTATTGTTGTAAATTTGATTCGATGATGTCTTTACAATTTTTAATGTATTACATTAATTACATTTTATTTTAAAATTTTAAATATAAAAAATTTACTACAACTTAAGCTCTATTCTTTTAAACATATAAAATCTTGCAACTATTTTAATAAAATAAAAGGAAAAATATTCTTCTCTCTTTACCAAAATAAACCACATGCAAGTACTTTAAGCAATGCTCTTGGTTATTTCGGATTGGGATCCTCTACTCATCAATAGTGGCTCCTAACATTTGCTAATGCATCTCCACCTTTCATTTTGTGGGATCCACAAAATGAAAGGTGGAGATGCATTAACAAATGTTAGGAGCCGCTATTGATGAGTAGAGGATCCCAATCCAGTTATTTCTCAAAGCCACACAAATAAAAAAAATAACTAACACGCACATTATCAATTTACTACATTTAAAAACCTATATCTGGAAAATATTGAGCTTAGTACGTGTATATATGATGAAGAAGTCTGAATTGCAAAACATGAAATTAATCATCCTAGGAAAAAAAGAAGAATGAGAAGAAAGATCGTGTTACTCACTTACAGTCGCAGAAGTCTATGTCTTCTAGCCATCGTTGACATTCCTGTTTCCTCTTATTATCGTGACGCTGCTTTCTTCCCCATACAATGTTATATTTGTTTTGTAGTTTGGAACCTCGATGTAATCATCATATATACCTGCTCTTATTTGGATGATCGTTCGACCATCGCTGTTGTTTAGCGCGAAGGCTATTGCATCCCCTACCCTAATGAAAGTGCAGCTCCCATCTGGAGCAACGACCAAAGTCTGCAACAATTATATACAACATACTGAATCACACGCACACACTTTTTTCACTTTTTAAGTTTTTCAATAATACACAAGCATGTTAGCTAGTATGTATGTTCATATTATATGTATATACTAACCAGTGTCGATTGATCATCGTGCACCCCTCCATCTGCCAATTGCACTATCACGGTTGTCGAGGTGGCATTGACGATGAAGATCAAAGTCATGACCAATATGAAACCTTGAACTGAGCTCATCATCACCATGTATGGTCTTTTCGTTCTTTCTTTCTTTCTTTCTTCTCATTCATTTTTTATTTTATTTTATTTTATTTTTTGGCGTGGGTGGCGGGGAGTGTGTTGTATGGTGTTTTATATATTGTGTTTTGTTATTGCACTGTGGAGTGTGGACTTGTTGGGAAACTACATGTGCCTAACCATTTAAGTAAAACAATCTCCATATATGGAATGCAAAGATAATTTTGAGTGCGACATTTTATTGGTCGAAATTGAATAAGAAACTTATGTGTATATTTAGACGTAGAGATTAGTTGGACAGTTGGTTTACAAAGTTTTTTTTTTGAGGTAAAAACAGAGCGAGTAGCCATGTTCATGTATATAATAACCGAAAGCCGGTTTACAAAGTTTTAGAGACAAGAATATGGGATTGAGTTTATAAGAACTTAACAAAATTGAACCGAGAAGTTGATAGCAGCTGTCAATAATACAAGGCATTGAGTTTATAAGAACTTAACAAAATTGAACCGAGAAGTTGATAGCAGCTGTCAATAATACAAGGCAGTGGAATCCCGACCAATTTATCCTTGTTGTTGTGTCCCATTTCGATAGCAGCTGTCAATAATACAAGGCAGTGGAATCCCGACCAATTTATCCTTGTTGTTGTGTCCCATTTCTCGGCCCATAATTTGCGTACTCGGCATAGTGCACCTTGTACAATGTCGGACTGTTGCTATTTGACCACTTCCTCCATCCGCTTGGACCGACGATCCTGTTCATATACGACCTAATGTACACCGTGGTTGAGTAATTGCTCCACGGTCGATCAAAGTACGTCTTGACTGACCCGTTGCTGGTAGCAAGGACGTGCCACTACAGGATGGAATAGTTTTGCATCGAAAAGCATGTAGCCTCGCTTTCACTTTCACGGCCTTGGGCTGTGATAGCATTGTCTTGCCCTTGCATTGGCAATTTGGCGTAGATCATGCAGTTTTGGAAGACGGCGGAGGCATCACCGAAGATAAAGTCTACGGTGCATAAGATGTTGCACTCTCGATAGGACTGCTGAGCATGACGTGCATACAAAGTGTATTGATATTCGTCAATGGCACAACGGTAGAATGCGACGAAACCGACATCGACGCGCAGCGCTACCGCCTGGCCCTTGGATTCAATGGCACAACGGTAGAATGCGACGAAACCGACATCGACGCGCAGCGCTACCGCCTGGCCCTTGGATGCACCTGATGTGTTCTTGAAACAGATGTCTTGGGCTATAAAGCCTTGGCCCGAGATGGCTGAAATTAATGGAAGCATGGTTAGACAACTAAATGGCCTAATCTTGAAAAACTAAGTACACCACTATTGCTAATATATCATAAAACATCTTTCAGTGTAGAGTGATGCATGGCTCTTTTTTTTAATTCTAATTTCCGTTGACGTAGTCCTGTTGTCAGATTATGAGCTCTTGGAAGTAACATAAACTGTACAAAATCACAAAGTATTAGACGTGATTGAGGCTGGCAAAAGAAAGAACATGGAGGTGGAAATCAGAGATAAAAAGTAGACGGATAATTCTAACTGAAATACAAAATGTCACGAGATTGAGAAATTTCAATCCGTCCTTAATTTGGATGTCAAATTTAAGCAATTGTACCTCTAATATTTGGAGATTTCCAACAAAACTCAGAAAACTCATTGGGGTTTTCTACAATTCCAAAAAGCTCATGGGATTTGGTGTGATTTTCGAAGTTCATGAGTGTTTATTACAAAATACTGCAATTTCATCGGGGTTTAGTGCAATTTATAATTCCATAAAGTTCGTGGTCATTCTTTTCAAACCATAACCAAACGTGTACTTGTACAAAGTTATGTATCACTACAGATGCACTTACAGATATGTCATATCATATTGTTCTACTAAATATACTAAAGGATAAACAATCATGCATGACAAATGAAGTTTCATTATCTAACAATGTACGGTAATAAGGGATACAAGTAGATTTCTTCCACTCACATTTCGTCACTACAAATTATTCAGATCCTGCCAATTGTATGTGCTATGCACACACAATTACATAATGGAAATGAGGGAGGCAAACCAGTCGATCTGACCCATCTAATAATCATGTAGACTTGTTTATTAAACGGATAACTGATACCAGGCCCAAGTCACCTAATTATTGGTTTTATAATCAAGCAACTTATCACTTAAAATCCATGGTCAAATTTTTCATGGTCCTATTTATTATTTCAAAGATTTTGTGTTGTTTTAGAAGTTCAGATTATTTTAGGGTGTTTTTTGTAAACATTTAAATTTTGTGGGTGTTTTTTATAAAATTTAAAAGTTTCAGTGTATTTTTTGAAAATATAATCTTTTCAGGTGATTTTTTTTAAAATTTGTATACTTTTTACTCTTTGTAAGTTTTGATTTTATAGGTTTTTTAATTTATGAATTTTAGAGTATTTTTTACGTTGTTGTTCATAAGTTATAGAATTTGCGGTATTTTAAAGTTTTGATATTTCTGGGGTGTGTTTTTGTAAATTTTATTCGACGGTGTCTTTGTAATTTTTAATGTATTAGATTAATTACATTAAATTTTAAAATTTTAAATATAAAAAATTGACTATAACTTAAGCTCTATTCTTTTAAACATATAAAATCTTGCAACTATTTTAATAAAATAAAAGGAATAATATTCTTCTCTCTTTACCAAAATAAACCACATGGAAGTAATTTAAGCAATGCTCTTAGTTATTTCGGATTGGGATCCTCTACTCATCAATAGTGGCTCCTAACATTTGCTAATGCATCTCCACCTTTAATTTTGTGGGATCCACAAAATGAAAGGTGGAGATGCATTAACAAATGTTAGGAGCAGCTATTGATGAGTAGAGGATCCCAATCCAGTTATTTCTCAAAGCCACACAAATAATAAAAATAACTACCATGTACATTATCAATTTACTACATTTAAAAACCTATATCTGGATAATATTGAGCTTAGTACGTGTATATATGATGAAGAAGTCTGAATTGCAAAACATGAAATTAATCATCCTAGGAAAAAAAAGAAGAATAAGAAGAAAGATCTTGTTACTCACTTACAGTCGTAGAAGTCAATGTCTTCTAGCCATCGCTGGCGTTCCTGTTTCCTCTTATTATCGTGACGCTGCTTTCTTCCCCATACAATGTTATATTTGTTTTGTAGTTTATTATCGTGACGCTGCTTTCTTCCCCATACAATGTTATATTTGTTTTGTAGTTTGGAACCTCGATGTACTCATCATATATACCTGCTCTTATTTGCATACAATGTTATATTTGTTTTGTAGTTTGGAACCTCGATGTACTCATCATATATACCTGCTCTTATTTGGATGATCGTTCGACCATCGCTGTTGTTTAGCGCGAAGGCTATTGCATCCCCTACCCCAATGAAAGTGCAGCTCCCATCTGGAGCAACGGCCAAAGTCTGCAACAATTATATACAACGTACTGAATCACACGCACACACTTTTTTCACTTTTTTAGTTTTTCAATAATACACATGCATGTTAGCTAGTCTGTATGTTCATATTATATGTATATACTAACCAGTGTCGATTGATCATCGTGCACCCCTCCATCTGCCAATTGCACTATCACGGTTGTCGAGGTAGCAATGCCGATGAAGATCAAAGTCATGACCAATTTGAAATCTTGAACTGAGCTCATCATCACCATGTATGGTCTTTTCATTCTTTCTTTCTTTCTTTCTTGTCATTAATATTTTATTTTATTTTATTTTTTGGCGCGGGTGGTAGGGAGTGTGTTGTATGGTGTTTTATATATTGTGTTTTGTTATTGCACTGTGGAGTGTGGACTTGTTGGGAAACTACATGTGCCTAACCATTTAAGTAAAACAATCTCCATATATGGAATGCAAAGATAATTTTGAGTGCGACATTTTATTGGTCGAAATTGAATAAGAAACCCATGTGTATGATTAGACGTAGAGATAAGTTGGACAATTGGTTTACAAAGTTTTTTTTTTTTTTGAGGTAAAAAACAGAGCGAGTAGCCATGTTCATGTATTTATTAACCGAAAGCCGGTTTACAAAGTTTTAGAGACAATAATATAGGATTGAGTTTATAAGAACTTAACAAACCGAGAAGTTGATAGCAGCTGTCAATAATACAAGGCAGTGGAATCCCGACCAATTTATCCTTGTTGGTGTGTCTCATTTCTCGGCCCATAATTTGCGTACTCGGCATAGTGCACCTTGTACAATGCCGGATTATCGCTATTTGACCACTTCCTCTATCCGCTTGGATCGACGATCTTGTTCATATACGACCTAATGTACACCGTGGTTGAGTAATTGCTCCACGGTCGACCCAAGTACGTCTTGACTGGCCCGTTGCTGGCAGCAAGGACTGTTTTCGCCAAAAGTTGGTTTCGTTGTCGAATTCATTATATCTTCGGTCGATTACAATAAATTCAAAGAAAACAGCCTTTTTATAAGACTCTTTTACACAACAAAAAGAAAATTACAACTCTTGAGAAAATAAACGCAGGATCGTTGTTTGGATCACTGCTTTCGTGGGATCTTTGCCTGTGCCGGGAGCGCTTTGACTCGTGGACCACCAAGTCACAGATTCTGATTGAACCGTGAGGGGTTTATGATTCTGACTTCGTTTATCGAAGTGAGAAATTGAAACGATATCTTATCGATGTAAGATAGTCGTTCTTCTTGAAATCAAGTCAAAGCTCAATTTCAAGGATTGGCCGTAAGATCAGCACATCTGCTCTCTCTCTGCTCTGGATTGCTCTCAAGTGCTCAAAATGATCAGCCACTTGAGAAAATAGCCTTCGGGGAGTATATATAGCCTCTAGGAACAGTTGGCAGAAAACATGTTCGCGAGACAGCTTTTGCTGTCTCGACGGGCGAGACAGTGTTTGCTGTCTCGGCCCGCGAGACAGCTAAGTCTTCCAACACGATTAGCCCCTCCATTACTGAGAATGATGATCACCTCAAGACCCTCACAGATTCAGAGGAAGAGAGGATTGCCCTGGCCGCATACCCAGGAGACAACCCTGGTACGCGGTCTGGAAAGAATTACTTGAAAGACTACGGCCAGAATGTCCAAGAAGTTGAGGAACAACCCCAAGACGCTGGGGGTTCTGTCCCCAAAAAGCCAGCTGATAAGGGGAAACAAAAAGAACTCCGGTTCAACAGGAATCTCCACCAGGAACACGGGGAGTCGAGCAATCCATTCCAATTCAATGTCATGGCGCAACTGGCCAACATACCGGCCAGGATTACTCTATACGAGCTCCTGAGGTTGTCCAAAACCACCAAGGAAGCTCTCATTGAGGCATTGAAGAATACAGAGAGCTTCATCACCCAAGTCATTCCAGTTCCTGAAGCTTCTGATGATCAAACTTGTCTGCAATGCCTGCAAGCGGCGAGAAGTCTACCCTGCATATCATTCACACAAGAAGACATGCAGGTCAAACACGAACATGACCGACCACTGTACTACACAGGGTATATCGGATCTTCTGAAATCAGTCGTGTCCAGGTTGACCCGGGCTCCGCACTCAGCATTATGCCTTACAGGGTCATGCAGGTTTTAGGGATTCCTATGCATCGGTTGCACACTACCCAGACCACTATCTTTGGTTTCAACGCCAACAGTACTCGACCCCTAGGGAAGATCAAACTCAGGTGCCAGATCGGAGATCTTAAGTCTGAAGTAGCATGCTACATCATAGATGCGGACACGTCCTACAATCTTTTGCTAGGACGACCATGGATACATGCAAACCGCATTGTCCCGTCTACCCTACATCAGGTCATGAAATATGCTAATGATGAGGGAGAAGTTCGAACCCTGATTGCGGAAAAATATCCTTTCCGAGGGGTAGAAAACTTTCACACCGACTCTGTTTTCTACTTGGAATCTCAGGAGAAAGAAGATGTTGACAGTGGCAATGAAGCTGATGTCGAGCCAGATCCGCAAGGGAATTGTCCATGGGAGTTAAACTTTGATGTAATTGGTTCAGTCGAGAACAATAATAATGTACCGAGTGAGGGCGAATGGTGCATTAATGAAGATTTTATTTTGGCGTACTTGTCTGATGAATCCTTTAAAGTTGGACAAATAGTAAATGATCGTGATGCAGGTACCCACTCATGGCACGCATTGTGCACAGAGGCATGTCTAACAATGCCAATCAAGTCATCTTTCGCTTCCAATGAAGAAGTGGAAGACGCACAAAAGGCTTTCTACAAAGTCCCGTCCAAAAGGAAAGGGCAGAAGCCGATCCAGTTCGGCAGAGTCAAACCCGAACAACTTAAGCGAGGAAGTTCAGAGGAAGACGATGGAGTTCCTCAGTTTCATTATCACGAACCCAATTCCATCCAATTGATGAAACGAATGGGGTATAATTTTAATGAAAAACAGGGTCTGAATTTCGGGAAAGGTAGACGAACCCCAGTCCGAATGTCTCTAGCCCCTGAAGGAAAACCTCAAGATTATTACCACAAAACCAGAAGTGGTTTAGGTTATGTCACAACTCCCTCCGCCTCAGAAGATGAAATCAGTAATTATCTGGGCCAAGATCATTCATCCAGAATATCTTCCTGTGAATCTGACGTCAGTGTTGGACCCTTCTTTAAGAGTCTGACTGTAAACATGACTTCAACCAGTCATCCGGATGAAGACGCAGGGGGTGATGAAGAATTAATCGAATTCACCGACGATCCTTGGATCAAACGCCTCAACATCTTATGGGACATGTGTTTTGAACAACGCGAACCACCCACTGAAGATAAAGTGATCCAGATCAACATGGGAGACGAATCCAACCCCAAACCTATCTTTATCGCGGAAGACTTATCATCATCCGAAAAAGAGAATCTTATATCTCTCATCCGAGAGTATATAGATGTCTTCGCCTGAAATTATGAGGATATGCCCGGCCTTGACCCAAATGTCGCTATGCATCGTCTCAACATCGATCCGGATGTAAAACCCGTTAAACAACAACAACGCAGGTTTCGTCCAGAGATCATGGAATCAATCGAGTCAGAAGTTAAAAAGCTTATAGACTCAGGTTTTGTCAGGGAAGAACAACCCCCAGACTGGGTAGCCAACATTGTTCCAGTTCCCAAGAAAAACGGTAAGGTCCGGATATGCATTGATTTCCGCGATCTTAACGCAGCTTGTCCAAAAGACGAGTTTCCTCTTCCTATTACTGATGTCATGATCGACAACACTTGCGGATACGAAAGGATGTCTTTTATGGACGGATTCTCTGGGTATAATCAAATCAAGATGCACCCAGATGACGAAAAGCATACTGCCTTTAGAACACCACTGGGGGTGTATTGCTACACAGTGATGCCCTTCGGCCTGAAAAATGCAGGTGCAACTTATCAACGTGCAATGAACACGATCTTTCACGAACATCTACGAAAGAAGATCGAGTGCTACGTTGATGACATAGCAGTAAAGAGTCAATGTAAAGACGATCATCTTGCAGATCTGAAGACAATGTTCGAAATCATGCGAGCACATCAGCTGAAGATGAACCCGACAAAATCGTTCCTCGGAGTTTCAAGTGGAAAATTCCTGGGATTTATCGTTACTTCCAAGGGAATTTCTCTTGATCCAGAGAAAGTGCGTGCCATCCAAGACATGCCACCTCCAAAGAATCTCAAAGAGCTCAGAGGTTTGCAAGGCAGACTGGCCTACATTCGAAGGTTCATATCAAATCTTTCAGGGCGTTGCCAACCTTTCTCTAAACTCATGAAGAAAGGAATATCCTTTGTTTGGGATGGAGAATGTCAAAAAGCATTCGAGGAGATTAAGAGATATCTCACTCAACCGCCTGTTCTCGTGGCTCCAATATCAGGGAAACCATTCCTGTTGTATGTAAGAGCCATGGAACACTCTCTTGGTGCTTTGTTAGCACAGAATAACGATCAAGGGCAGGAGCAGGCCATCTACTATTTAAGCAGGACTATGATGGGAGCCGAACACCGGTACAATCCAGTCGAAAAAGAATGTCTCGCCTTGGTATTCGCAGTTCAGAAGATGCGACATTACCTAGTTGGACAGACAATTCATGTCATTTCTAAGGTGAATCCCTTAAGAGTTCTGATGACCAAACCATCATCTCTAAATTGCCGGCTTGCAAAATGGGCCATCCTCCTGTCACAATATGATATGCAATTCATGCCGCAAAAGGCAGTCAAGGGTCAAGCATTGGCAGACTTCTTAGCCGATCATCCAGTGACGGGAACATCAAAGTTGTATGAAGAATTGCCAGATGAAGTTGCTGAAACTTGCGTTACTCAAGAAACCACGCAGGTGTGGAAGTTGTTCTTCGACGGGGCATCCAGAGCGAATCCTCATGGAGCAATTACTGCAGGAGTGGGGGTAGTGCTCGTCTCCCCGAATGGTCACATAATACCAAGAGGATTTTCCCTAATCAAACCCTGCACCAACAATGTAGCCGAATATAATGCCCTATTATTAGGAATGCAATTTGCTGAGGGACTTAATGTTCAGCGCCTTGAAGCTTACGGTGACTCCCAGCTCATCGTCAATCAAATCCGGGGGGAATATGAAGTACGCCATGAAGACTTGATCCCGTACTACTTCGCAGTGCTAGAGCAAGCTAAGAAGTTCGAGGGCTTCTTTATTGAGTACATCCCGCGAGCTCAGAATGC